GAAGGGAAGGCAGGGACAAGGGGAAAAATGAGAATCAAGACCTATTATGTAAAGGTACAGAATCCCAATGGTGAATGTAATTGTATTGTATACCTAGATTGTATCAATAACCTCAATAAAAAGAAAAAAAAAACTGGAAAAAAAAACAACCATGATTCTCCACAAAATAGAAGGTTGAGATAAAATAGGAGCCCTAATGGGGACACAAAACAGGGATATTCAGACCTTAATGCATGATCTATTTTCCACCAAAGGGAAAGGAAGAAATATCTTTGTCCCTGTCCTCCTCTGCAAACAATATATAGAATATGTCTCTTTTTTCCCCTTTACTCTTAATTTCAAGACTCTGGGATGGCCAGGGTATCCAGCTCAGTGGTTTGGTGGCCTGCCTTGCAAGCGCAAGGACCTGAGTTCAATCCCTGGTACCAAAAAAATAATAATAATAATAATAAGACTCTGGAGTGCGGGTGGTGGTGCTGTAACAGCAGGGGGTGCCATGATGTCTCCAAATGAGGTCGGATAAAAGGAATATAGAGAGACCAAATAATTATAACTTTTTAATTGTGTGTTTAAAAAAAAAACTGAGGGGCCTAGCACGGTGGCACACACCTATAAACCTACCACTCAAGTAGCTAAGGCAGGAGGATTGCCACCAGTTTGAGCCCATTCTGAGGTACATAATGAGTTTTCAAGGTCAACCTGGGCTACATAGCAAAAACCTGTCAAGCAAAAGGCAGAGAGAGTGAGAGAGAGACAGAGAGAGAGAGAGAGAGAGAGAGAGAGGAAGAACACAAAAATTGTGAGGGCCCAAGAGATGAAAGGAAGAAAGAGGGGAAGAGGAGGAAATAAAAAGAATTAAAATGTGCTAGGTACCATGTACCACTTCCGTATGATAAAGTAATCATTATGTACTGCAAACATGTACAAATAAAATTAAAATATATTTTAAAATTAGAAAAATAAATCATCTTATAAATCAAGAGAAAAAGAGAAACAAAGAAAAGCTGTGTCTTCAAGATACAAAAGTTAGCCAAGGTTACAATGCCTTTTCCCTTCCAGGAAACTCACTCGAAAAAAAAAAAAGCAAAACAAAAATTTCCTAAGAAATCTTGAAGATACAATAAGTCTGTAAATCGGGGCCCGTACTTTTCACCTGTAAAATGAGCTTCCTCCCACAGATCTCCATCTTCAAAAAAGCAGCTTTCTTAAATGGCCAGAGAATTTCTAAACTTCAAATACGAAAATGGTTTACAGGCTCAACGCAGCCCAAGTGCGCCGCCTAACAGACAGTAGAAATACACATCCTAGATCGCCACCTTGTGGTCACCCCGAAGACCACATGAGGGCGCCAACCCCAGACCATAGTGTACCTCTCGAGAGCTGAGAGCTTGCTTACACTATTTTTTCTGAATTCATTCTTTTAAAGTTCTGCCTAATACAAATTTTATACCTCTCACGGCCGATATGTCTTAAAATTCTTTTTTCTGTGATATAAATCAGCAAACCTAAACCCTGTGGGGTGAGGCAAGGTTCCCAACTCCTCTGTGGAGGACCTCCTTGGACCCCATAGTGACTCGAGGGCAAGAATAGCGGCAGATTCATACCCTACATAGGAGGAAATCCCCTACAACAGAAGAAACATGTCTCAGAAAACACCATACTTATGATCCGATGGAAAATTCAGCCCCTAGCCTACCCTAACAATGCCTTAATGGGGGAGGTCACATTTAAAATACATATTTTTAACTTTTCCTTTTTGTCAACAAATGATTGCTGCAATAATGCAACATCTTAAGATGGCTGTAAAAGCTATTCTCACTCTTTTGTTAGTGGGCCAATCTGATTTTCTGAGAACAGTGCCCCTTTCAGTTTGTCTTTCCTCATGGAGAAATTCCTTCTCACTTTCACTAAAGATTTTGCCTGAAAATCCATGGTATTATCTGAGTTTTATTGCTGTCATCACTGAAGCAAGTTCCCACATGCATCTTCATCAGATTCAAATAAGGTATATTTTCACAATTGTCTTGGAGTATCTCCAGTCTGGGAACTCTTTTGGAGGGAGTTAATGGTGGTTATGGTTTTGAGAGGCTTTGGTCAATAAGGGAAGTTGTGGTAAGATTTCTTCCTGTATCTGCTGTCATTCAAATGTTTTCAGTTTAGTCTAACACACACACACACACATGTACACACTTTTCCCTTTAGCAGCTAGTACCATGGATCTCTGCTTTTCTATTTGTTTCCACATATCCAAAGTTGGGGGGAATAGCTGTGACACTTGGAGATTAATCACATCCTCTGGAGCAAAGAAACAAATGTTTCTGTGTTGTGGTCAGGGAGGAGATGAGCGTTGGTCTTTAATCAGCATATATGAAGATCTTAAGATGTATGCATGTTTATTAACTAGAAAAAAATTAAGAGGATAAGAGCAAAAATAAATAATCCCATAGCAGCCATTTTAGATTCTGCAGATAAGTCCTTTATTATAATGAATACATAAAACACCTTTTAGTCAGGGAGAGTTAAGCGAGTATGATCTAATAAATTTTTAAGACTCTGACTTACTAGGGTGATTGAAAAGTTTGGGGGAAAAGGAAAATTTCTAATGTCATCTCTTGATCTTATCAGACACAGACACTGTAATACCAAGTAACACAGAACTGTTGTTTTATCAGTACGTTATTCATGAGTCTTTAATGGTTTCCCCAACGGTTGACATAGGGGAGTAACAAAAGTAGACACTTTCAAATCATTCCTTGTGATGAACAGAAAAATCCCTGGATAAATAGCTAATTCACTTGGATTTTTGTCTCACCTCTTCCACTAATTTGAAAGTCTCACCCAATTCTTTAACTTCAAGCTCCTGTATACAAAGGCATCATCAAAAAGCTGCTGGGGTATTAAAGAATAACTGAGGTGAAGCCGGGCATGGTGGTGCACACCTGTAATCCCAGCACTCAGTAGGCTGAGGCAGGAGGATCACTGTGAGTTTGAGACCAGCCTGGGCTACACAGTGAATTCCAAGTCAGTCTCACTATGTAGCAAGACCCTGTCTCCAAAAAAAAAAAAAAAAATCCAAAAAACAAAAAATAACTGAGGTGAGAGCACTTAAAATGTAGGAAAAATACATGTAATGACTAAATTACAGAGTGTAAGATCTGAGAAAGCTAAGCTGACCAGTATTACAAAACGCTTATTGTAGAAAAGCTCAGACTAATAGGATTATGTCTTCATTTCTCTTGGATGCAGTGTATTTAATAGAATGGGTTACACAGAGGAAGAAGCACAGGAAATGAGCAGAGGAAACAGAGCTGGAGACCTTTCAAATGTCTCGCTCATTGCCATCTAGGTCTAAATCGGAGGTGGGCCACCGGCTGTAACCAATACTGGATGGCATCTACGCATCAAAGTGCACAGGCACCGCTGGGTTACCCTCGCAGGCAATGACAACTCTTCTGGTCCTGGCCCTAGCCCGATATCTGCAGTTCGGGGCCACGGAATTTCCCGTGTCCCTGCAGTCTGTGACCTTCACGACACCTTCATGGCAGTTCATCTGGTTGTTCTTGCACGGGATACTGGTGGTGCTGCAGATACTGTGAATGCTCCAGATGTCCTCGTGGATGAAACTGTTGAAGCGCTTGCACCTTGGAGTAGTCATCTTCCGCCTTTGCATCATCAGGTTGCAGTAGCTATCGTCACCACCTGTCTCCTGGGGGTCCACGTGCTGCCGCAGGAACCGCTGGTACATGCGATCCTGGCCATAGGAGGGCTGCACCAGCCCCAGCCCCAGCAGGGTCAGCAGCAAGAGCAGAAGCAGTGAATGGGTCCTCTGGAGAGCCATCACCACCTTGGAGGTGCCTAGAGAGGGCGCAAAGGGCCAGAGAAAGGGCGGTAAGAACTCGGCCCGGAGAGACTGAACAGCGAACTGACATTTCCCTGACTCCACGGTCTCCTCTTTCTCCTTCCCTCTTTTCTTGTGTGATTTCCCAACTTTCCCCACCCTTGTCTCCCTAAGAGTGAATATTTTACCAACATGTACTTCTTGGGAAACAGAAGCTTTTCCTTTTTCTAGAGAGCAGTTGGTGTAACTTGTAGAGTAAGTCAGGGCCTTGCTGATTGTGTTTGGTCGCCCAAGATTGTGTGGTCAGAATATACAAAAAGGCACTTCTACACAAACCTGCAGTTGCCTGCCTTTTGAGGTATGATCTTTGGGGAGGGAGTGTTTTGGTTCCCAGAGGCTTACTTGCCAACAGTTTGGGTAGAGTCAGGTCAACAAAATTTTATATGCTGATTTCCGTAACTTACATCTAGGAATTGAGGGAGGTGAAGAAATGAGCAGAGTAAAATTTCAGCCTAGCCTTCCCTCTCATGACTATTCTTTTAGTGGTGTAAAATTGGGGTTTCTTTGGAAATCTTATTTTTTTAGAAACCAGGGTATTAAAGACTTTCCAGACTGCCTCTTTCTACCAAGTTTCAAGGGGTGGAGGTGGGATGACTGGAGGACACCGGCTAGCCAGATGCTGCCATCTGCTGGTCACTCGTGGGATTAACATGAACTGTGATTCCGTTTGGGTCCTGCGGAGAGGCAAGATTGATTGATGAGAGCGCACCCGTCTCCTTATTCAAGAAGTGAGCAAGCTAAAGCAACAAAGACAAATTTTCAGTCAAACGAATCCATTTTCATTTGTGCAGTCTAAGGGCTGGCCCCAGCGAAGTCCTGGTTTGAATTATGCAGATACTGCTGTCCATTCAATGGCCAGTTTCACTGTCTGAGTCACTGAAATAAATAAATGGCTTATGAGGGATCTGTACTTCAATCCTGTGATTAGTGACAGTGACCAGTGGCAAATATAATTATTCTCTTTTTAAGTGTCACTTCCCATATCCGTGCCATCTTTTTTGCTTTCACACATAAAGACATAAAGCTCTATGCCCTGTTTCTGTGACTAGAGGTATAGATACAAAATCATGTGTTAGGAAGAGAGGAAGTAAGTTGTTTGGGGAGGAAGGCTGTTAGGGGAAGCCGATTCTTGATTTAATATTCTCTCTCTTTCTCATCAGTGGACACAGCCTTCGAATGAACACTTAGTACTTGGGTTTTATTTATTTATTTAATTTTATTATTTTTTAGTACTTGGGTTTTAGCTCCAGCAGAGCAATGTACTTGGGTGCTTTTTCTGATGACTCCTCTACCTTTATACTGTTTTTATTTACTTTCTCTCATTGTTTTTTGTGACCAAGAATATAGTTTGGTTTAGTAAGAAAACTGACTACAGAGAAGACTTAAATCATTCATGTACAATCAAACCCTAACTTGGTGTGGCAGTGCACGCCTATAATCCCAACACTTAGAAGGCTGAGACAAGAGGATCACTGAGTTGAAGGCCAGCCTGGGATACAAATTGAATTCAAGAGCAGCCTGAACTACAGAGCAAGACCCTATCTCAGAGAGAGAGAGAGAGAGAGAGAGAGAGAGAGCAAAACCCTCACCTCAGCTATGTTAACCACATAAGTAAACAAGACACAGAAAAGTATCTGATGGCAGTGGTCCAATATAGACATCAGAAGGTGCATCTCAGGGCTCCAGTAACAAGTAAAAAAATATCTCCAAATCATCCCAGCACATGCTCTCTGGTCAAGATTTGCCCCAGAGGTTTTTCTGTCATGGCACACCAAAAGAAGTTCTCCATGAGAACTCGTGTTTTATGCCGTGGTCTCAAAGCCCTAGGTGTGCCACGCTGATGTTTACACCCCTCGCAAGGGTTCAAGGCTCGTTCTCCCAAGACGGTGCCATGGGTAAGCGGTAGACTCCATCCCCACCTCACTCCTATGCTGCCGAGAGGTGAACAGCTCTTCTGACACATTCTCCCACCATGATGTTCTGCCCTCGCCAGCAGGCGTAATGGCCAAGCCATCACGGAACGAAACCTCTGAAACTGAGACGAGATACACCTTTCCTCTTTTTAACTCCATTATTTTGTCATGGGGACAGCAAGCTAACTAAACACTGAGTGAGCTCAGTGAAATTCTTTAACTGCTCGGTGTATTTCCTCATAAGTGAAATGCTCATAATAACGTCTATCTCTTAAAAAGCTGTGAACAGTAAATCATGAAATTTACCACCAAACCTAACATAAAGGAAGTGCTTAGTAAATGTTGACAACTATTGTTTTTACCAATTTCATTTTTCTTGTTTTCCTCTACTTTTTTCAATCGGGATAAAATAATGAATGACTAGAATGAGTTACAGTAAACATAATTGTCTCCTCTTAATTTTGTAGTTTATTGGATATAATGAAGTCTGTTTTTAAATGATTAGCTTGAGATAAAATGACTTTCTGTAACTGCATGGTGGTGGACACCTGTAATCCCAGCACTATCAAAAGCTGAGGCAGGAAGATTGAAAGTTTGGTCCCAGAAAGTTTGAGCTCGCGCAATTTAGTGACTTAGAACCCATATCAAAATTTAAAAAGAGCTGGGGATACAGCTTAGCAAGAGATCTGGATTTATTCCCCCACACCACATACACACACAAAAAGATTTGATTGTAACTTTTCTCATTGCTGAGACAAAATACACAACGCACAAATTAAAGGAGGAAAGCTTTATTTCAGTTCACCATTTGTAGAGGTTTCAGTCCATAGTCTGCTCTCTCTAAGGCACAGGGGCATAGCAGAGAGGCATTGCAGAGAAGAAACAGTCCGGAGTATAGCAGGGAAGGCAGAAGACAGCAAGCAACAAGCAACAGCAACAGTAGCAGCAACAGAAGTAGCCTGCTTTCTTTCTGTCCCTTTCTGTTCCAACTGGGCTACCTGTCCTTTGGGCAGTGCCATCCACACCTAGGGTCAGGCAACCTTAATCCAGCATCCTAGTATCACACCTTAGTTGAGGCAGCTCTGAAAAGCTCCACCTATGAGTGCATGGGGCTTTGCGGGGACATCTAGACACACATCATAACAATCTGCCCGTGGCTGATCCCTCAAAAATTCATGCATATCCCTTTATGCAGAAGGCATCTGGTTCATTTCTAAGAGTTGCCAAAGTCCTAACAGTTTCAGCATTGTGGAAAAAGTCCAAGTTCAAAATCTCCTTTGGGATTTAAGGCAAACTCTTAGCTGTGAGCCCCTGTACAGATGAAGGAAAGTTAAGCACTTCCAACATACAATGGCACAAGATTAAACATCACCACTCCAAAGGTACAAACAGGGGGATAAAAAGAATGGGACCAAAGCCAGTCCAAAATCCATCAGGGCAAACATTAACTCCCATGGTTCCATTTCCAGCATCCAGGGCAATCTATGGCAAGAGGTGAACTCCAAAGGGCTTGAATGGCTCTGCCCCTATAGCACTTCAATGGTTATAGCTCCCATGGCTTCTCTCTTGGGCTGGCTCTGCCCCCTCCTTACAGTTTTCCTCAGATGATTCACATCCTGGCTTCTGCAACCTTCCAGGGTCTCTGCTGCACCTTTGGTTTCACACTCACAGCCTCACACATTGCTCTCTCAGTAGCACACTGCCTGGCTTCCCAGGCCTTCTCCAGAAATCTGGATGCAAGTGTTCCTGATCCCACAACTCTTGCATTCTGTATGCGCCTAGAACCAGCATCATGCGAATGATGCCAAGGTCTGCTACCAGCTGGAGCAGTAGCCAGGCTTCCTTGTCTCTTGACTGTAGGGGTCAAGTGCCTGGATTGCTTTGTGCTATGAACTCAATCTAGAGGAACAAATTCCCTAGGGCACCGCCATTCTGGAACATGGGGTGGGTACCAGGGATCAAACTTGGGCAATTTCACTTGCAAGGCAGGCTCCAGAACCACTGAGCTAAATCCCAGCCCTGGGGCTCTCTTCTTACACTTACAATTTTGAGGCTGCAAAGGGTGAAGTCCTGCTGGCTTCTGTGATGCCCTCAGGCCATCTTTTCTATTGTCCTCTTCCTTCTCAGCAACCAAGTTCTCCTCTGCTCCATCTTTGTTACCTGAGCTTTCTTTTTGGCCAAATTAAAAATGTTTTAAATTATTCTGCTGGAGTCTTTGCTCACAGATCTGGCTAAGAGCCCTCAGCTGTAGGCATGCCACTGCCTCAACAGACTGCCTTGGAATTTCCTCTGCAAGTTTAATTAGTGCACCACCCTGAATGTCAGTTTCAGGCAGTCTCTGGACAAGAGTAAAATGCAGACAAATTTTTTTTCCCACCACATAGCACACATGGTCTGGAGTCCAACTGCCAAGGCAGTCCTTCCTCCCAATAGAAACCTCCTGAGCCTGGTCTTTACCTGCTGCATTCTAAACTTATTCTGGTCTTCTGACCTCTGAGCAGAACCTCCCATCAAGTACAATTTAAAGTATTCCAGGGCTGCTTTTTCAGCCAGCATCTCCAAACCTTTCCAAAAAGTCCATTTCAAAGGCTCCTAAACTGCACAGTCAGGTATAGTCACAGTAATGATCCCACTCTTGGTACCAAAATCTGTATCAGTCAGTGCTTACTGGAGAAACAGATTTAATACAAGATATACAAATATATAAAAATTTACAAGATTGGCTTACAATGGCCACCCACAGAGTCAGGCATGGAAGAGTGCTAAAGGTCTGTCTGTACACTGAATAGCCAAAGGATCAGGACAAAGTCCAGGAGCTCACTGTAGTGTCCCAGGCAAGTCCATATCAGGAGGCTGAAGGGTCTGCAATGGAAGCCTGAAGGGTCTGTGCCGTAAACCAGAAACTACGTTCCAGGTGAAGGCGAAGGCTGGAACTCCTCCAGTGGAACAGAAGTGAGCCTTCCTTCTTCCTTCCCCTTTTACACCATTTAGGCAGCAAACCCATTAGTTTCTGTCACTCCACTGGTTGCAGTAAACTTCAGTAA